TTATAATGTTTCGACCAATTCATTGAAAAGCCTTTTTCAGGTAAGCTGAAAGATTTGTTTTTTACAAAACAATATGGCGATAAAATAACCGCCAATATTAATTTCAGCAGAAATAAACAGATTATTTCCTTATGTAGAAGCTGGCCTAAACCAAGCAAATATTTCAAGTGATCTCTAATTTTAAATTAATATAAGATGTGCTTACTTCTGTTATATTTTAGATTATGTAACAGAAATGTATGTCTTCTCTTTTTTTGATTGCTGTCATCAATTATCGATGGCCTGCCACCAGAGATATGCATTTATTTATTGTTTTTGTCATCATCTGAACAACCTATCTTCGTTTTCTTGTCATTTTCGCTGAAAAATCTTTTCATCATATTCTTGGGAAACGTAAGAAAGATCGAATGTTGGCAAACAGGACGTGTTCTTGCGGCGAAACTGTAAAATGAATCCAAGCAGATGTCTTCTTCAAGAAATATCTGCGACAACTGTTTCCATTATTGTTGTGAAAAGATAAAAGGCAACTTGCGAACGGAGACAAACAAAATTAGTGAAATATGATCTTCGACCTTGTGTGTACGAATTCTAAGACTTATATACAGAAGATTTTACAAGCAGCAGGATGTATCAACTATTTGAAATACTTAAAAACGGATGTCTATCAATGTTACTTTCAGCAAAGATTTTGCCACTGAAGAAAGACCAAATTGTGTTTATTTCTTTTTTAATCACTAGACGCGGGTTGAAATTCTCACAGTATTTAGTATTGTTAAAGTTAGTGTGTAAATCGTTCTCTCGGGTGGTTTGTAACAACCTATTTATCATCTCTCAGTTGCGTCTCTGTCTTTGGGCAGAGTGCTCTAAGGCGCGACTCCGTCAAAGGACAGAGTCGAAATGAGGAAAATTCTACTGAGAGGTGGTGGCCCTGGGGAACAGTTTCCCGAGGCTGCGCCTTTTCAATGCACCAGAGAGAGGGATCGATGCTTGTATCGTGGCCAGCGCAACAAACAGTTACGGGGACTGCGGGCAATTTTTGTTCCTAGCTCGGGTGTACGCTTAAAACTGACCTTGTGTCACAACTCGCCTTAGTGGGAAAACAGAGTAAATACCTAGTATTGATGAAGTTATCATTAATATTTTTTCTCTAGATTTACAAACTCCACTCTCCCTGTATTTATATTTAGAACGCTTCTACTTAATTTAACCATTAAATTGCTTTTAAAATAGGGGGGTATAGCTGTATGTTAAATTACAAAACTTCTAATTTTGACAAAAACATTAATGAAAATTTATAGTACTAAGCTACACACCCTAATAAAAGCAACTGTACTTTGTACCCTTTACCTGTTTGCATTTCTCCTTAAAATTTGGTTTCAATCAATCAATATATATATATATATGTGTGTGTGTGTGTGTGTGTAGTTTTATGGTATGCTATATTTATGGATTAAAGTGCTCAATATCAAGGAAGTGGACATTGAAGTCAACACCCGGCAGCGACAGTCTGTTTCATGTTTATAAACAAACGTCAGGCCATATGAGTTGTGTTTTTGCTTGACTATTTATATATACAGGTTAGTGATGCATTGTGGGTAGTCTATTGTATTGTTCTAATGGTTATTTTCGTGGGCGGCAATGGTTATGTTTGAAATTATTCTAGGTTATTGGATAGAAATAAGAGAAACAACATCAGCTTACAACAATTTTTCTCATGTTATTATTTTGATGAGTGTGTAAAAAGATCACTATAAATGATTCTACACTGTTAGTCCTCATAACATTAGAAAAATTGAATTAAAAAAAACTATAAAATTTTATCTGTCACATTCAATGAAATTTATATTGCTAGAATTATTTTGCAACTCGCTGATATGTGTTGAAATCCTCAAAGTATTTAGTATTGTTGAAGTTCTCGTTAACATTTTTTCTCTAGATTTAAAAACTCCACTCTACTGAACTGTGTTTATATTTAAAGTGCTACTACTTATTTTAATCATTAAATTGTTTTTAAAATAGTAAGAACATTTGTATGTTAAATAACAAAACCTTTAATTAGTAATGGAATACTAGAATTTCTGACGAGTGTTGAAATCCTTGCAGTATTTAGTATTGTCGAAGTTATCTCTAACATTTCTAAACGCTACTCTTCCTATTGGATTTACATTTATAATGCTACTGATGTGCATTATATTTTACCAAAATGAAACTTATATATCAAAACTTAAAGATATGCAAAAAAACAATATTACATTTTTATTAAAAATAAATATTTGTTATTATAATCATTACATTAATTTAAAAATAGCGGGAATATTTTGTACGTTAAATAATAAAACATTTAATTTTTAAAACAAAAAAAATGAAAATTTATTGTACTAAGCTATTCACCCGAGTAAATCTAACTTTGTATTACCTTACCTGTTTGCACTTTTCCCCAAAATTTGGTTTCGATCGGTCAATATATGGCTATTTAAGAGGGTGTGACGGACAGGCGGAC